ATACAGGGCTCTTCCCTGTAAGCACAGCTATGTGTCCATTAATTGTCCCAGGCATCATAATGTTTGGAAGGAGCAGGACAATATCTAGCCATATCTATGGAAAGCTGTGGAATTTGGCTAGTGCAAGGGCCATTGGGCAGTCAAGAGAATCAAGATTCCTGACTCTAGAAGGAAGCTCAGCTGTGTCAGCTGGTGTGAGTGATGTAGGAAATTGAGCAAATTCTGTTCTGCAAGGATGATGAGGGACATTAGAAAGCTGTGTTCATCTCACACCTACAAACCACTCCAGCCTGCCCTTCATTGGCATCAGAGTATGCAGTGCATTTATTCTGTGGCTCTTGTTTGTGTGTCTGTTGTGTTGTGTAGCTTGGGACCAGGGAGGTTTGCTGTAGCTGATGAGAACATGAAGTCTCATGTTAGCTAGAACAGAGTATTGTGTTCACCAGGATGCCAAAGAGGTCTTTGCTTTCATACTTCCTGTACTGCTCCGCCAGAATCTGAGTTAAATCCCTGATTTGAGTTTGCTGGTTCGTTTACCAGACCTGGTTGTCTTTGGAAAGCTCTGTGAACTCTTTGTAATCCTTTCATTATTAGGTTGTGATGACCTGAGACACAAACTGGACAGCACCAATTCTCAGAGCATGGATGCCTGCAGAAGCCTGGAGGGCTTTGTGGCTTATAGGCTGCTCTATGACGTGTGGTGGAACCCACCCAAAGACTCCCTTGGCTTGCAAAAGGCTGTGCTGGACCCTGTGCTGTGTCCCAGTGAGCAGACAACTCTTGAGAAGAGTTACAGTCCAGATAACTCCTCCCCTGAAAAAACTGATCAAACTGCACCTGAGATGGATGAAAACCTCTGCAATAGAACTGAAGTTCCTAAGTGTGAGACAGAAAGTGACTCATTAACTAACTCGGTTGATTTGGTAGACCGACAGTCAAAACTGAAGGGCTGCAAAGTGCTCCTTTCAGATGAGATGGCTGCTCTGCAGAACACCCAGAGAGATATAGCTGAGGTCCAGGAGACGTTAGCAGAAATGATCCACCAGCATCAGCAGCAGAGGAACAATCTCCAGGAAAACACAAATGGAAACGCCCAGGAAAGCAACCTGAAGCAGAGCTCAGAGGCTGAATCAGACCAACCATGCTGTGACAGCAGCCAGATGAATGGGTAAGCTTCAGCACATTGAAAGAGTGGATTGAAAAGTGTTGAGGTTTTGTGTGTATTTGTGCAGCAAATTCATAGTTTAGCTTTGACTGTGATCTCCAGCTCAACACTCCACATACAACTCAGAAGTCCTGCATTTCCCTGGGGCAGATCACCACATGCATAACCTTAGTGCAGCTGAATAGCTTTGTGGTACATGAGTGTGTTGTTACAGGGAATAGCAGGGTGGTTGGAAAGGGGAGGATAATGAAAAGGACGAGCATGATCTAAGAGGTTTCTTTGTTGAACAGTTGTTTGGGACTTTGGCAAGAATGAGCTAGAGCATAAAACACTTGTCCAGTTCTCTGCTGGGCTCCCTGCACAGGAGGGAGGCTGTGCAGTCATCTAAGAGAAACAGTTCCTCATGCCACCTGTTCTTTCCTTGACAGCAAAGATGAAGTGAAGCAACCGATTACACTCCCTGAGCTCACAAAGCAGCTTCTAAAAGCAAAGCAGAAACTAGCTGAATTCCCAGACAGTATAAAGGTAAGTTTGCAGAATAGCCATTGTGGTTCTGAAAAAAGGCAGTAGTTGTGTAAAGGCAGCCTCAGCATAGAATCCTTTCCATGCAGAAAGGAACAGAGATGTTCCTCGTGATCCTGTGGCAATTTTGAGAGAGAACAGCTGAGATCAAGGTGCTATTTTTCTTTGAAGTGTAACTTTCCCCGTGAAAGCGGAAAGGGTAGCTAAAGCTCCTGCATGGGAGAACTCAATGGGATATTCTGTTTGGATCTATCCCATGCATTTTAAAAGTAATCCCTTGCTACTTACATCTGAAAAGAGTTTTGATAAACAATGAAACCAGAAATTTAAACTATAAAATGGACTTTATAGATTAAGAGCTGAAGAAACATCACATTTGAAAACATTTCCTGGGCTGTCTCATCCCCTGTTCTTTCATCTATAATATAAAAGTAACCATGGTGATTGTGCATGAGGGGTAAACCTGGTTAAATGTGAAGAGGAAAAATTGCATCTGACTCCTGACTGTCTGTTCAAGGATGTTACATAGCAGTGTCTTTAGAGAGCTGCCTGCCTGGATATGTTATTGAACAATTGCAATTGAAAGAGTAGACATCACCTCATCTTCTCTTTTTTGCAGGTCTTCCCATTCCCTGATGTGCTGGAGTGCTGCCTTGTACTCCTTCACCTTGGATCCCAGTGCCCTGCTGAGCTGCAGGAACAGGCTCTGGATCTCCTGAGGAAACATGGTAGTGCTAATATTTACAAAAAGGCTGTCAGGAGGTTCTTGACATGACCTTTTGAGACCAAACTGTCTCCCTTGAGCTGCTTTCAGCTACTTACTACCAGGGCTGTTCTTTCTTCAGGTGAAGGCTTGTTTTGATGGCTGTGGTTGTTCTTGATAGAACTACAAAAATCAGCTTTATACTAGACCCATTTGTGGTCATCAACTAATGCTGCTTAAGGAGAGTGTTAGAGAATTGTGGGCTTGACCTGTATGCAGGATTTTTGCATAGGTTTTTTTATTTGTTGGACACTGTTAATGGAAGCTCTTGCAATTTAGATGTAAGAGAAGCAGTTCTGTGCAGCTGTCTCAGTCCTTCAGCAGAGGATGAACAGCTGCCCTCAGGAAAATTAATGGTTTCTGTAAGCAAACTAACCTTAAGCCAGTATTGTTCCTAAAAACATTGTGGGTTTATTTTCCCTCCTTTAAATAAAGTCTTCTGCCACCATGGATTGGTATTTAATTTGATGTATAGAGATCAGTACCAGCCAGGGGCAAATGCATTAAAAATGTGTCTGGGGTAGAATTTTGTTGTTAAATGTACCACATAAATCAAACTTGGTAGTGTGGTGAAGCCACTGTACAAAATGAAAGGTGAGCAAGATCTTTTATAATTGTTTCCAGGATGACTAGCAAGAGATCAGGGATTTCTCCAGGTCAAGAAAAGTCCCTGCTTTTGACAACATCCATGGCTGAACAAACTGCTTTTTGCTACAGGGATGATGAATTTGGGGCATCATCATGTTCTGTAGGACAGTGCTGTTGTAGAAGTGCCCAAACCAATCCTAGATTCTGCAGTTTTGAATTTGCAATATTTTGACCTTGCAGGTTACCCTAAAGGCTTTGTCTGTCCTGTTAGAAAAACTAACTCATAAGAAAAGCATGAGGCTGCATAAGGCTTAGTGAACATAGCATCTATCTTCGTCATTTCTAGAGGTAAGGCTGTAAATGCAGTAGATAAGTTCATGATAGGATGGGAGGGAAAGTTTATATACACTAAAGATCATTGTTAAAGAATTAAAAGGCAGGATGGATTTTTTTTTTTAGATCCAAAGCTCTTCCTAATTAAAAGGCAGGATGGATTTTTTTTTTAGATCCAAAGCTGTTCCTGGTTCTTCCAGCCAAAATGCAAACTTAGCCCTGATAGATTTCCTGCTTCAAGCTGAATAAAGCCTCAGAACAGCTTGAAGAGCAGCAGGTGAAGGTTAGGCTGAAAGAACCTTCATTAATCAGTGAACTGTAGCCACCAACTTGATTTGCTCAGTTCAGTACAAAGTACCCGAAAACCAGGCGGGGGAGCCAGTGTTTCACCCAACAGCCTTCCTGCACTTACAGCAGGAACCACTGGAGTTCAGAGGGAGCAGGAACCACTGGAGTTCAGAGGGAGCAGGAAAACTTCACACACAACAGTTTGTTACTTTTAGGCACCACAAAGCACTGCAAGAATATTCCTCTCTGCTGTGAGCTGTGCAGGAGGAGAATACAAGACCTTCAGCTCAGCTTTCAGCAGCTACTGCACAATGAGCTCAAAAGCAGATTTTACTAAGAACTGCCCCAGTGGCACATCCTAAGGGGCAGAGGAAGAAACTTGAGTGGTTTTGAGCATGTATTGCCCAAATTCAGGTTTCAAAGCATCGACTTTGAAAATTTTAGTGCTTGATGGAAAATCCAAAACAAAACCTGGTTTACAAAAATTTATTTTACAAAAATTAAAAACAAGTAGTATTTACAAGCATTTTAAATACCAGCTCTAAACCTCAACTCTTAATAATAGATTCGGCTTGTGGAAAATGCAAGACAAATTCTTAAAATGTCAAGTCCACCATGCCCAAAAGGGTTCTTTGAGAAATGTCATTACAGAGCTGTTGGGAAAAAAATGCTATAGAGCAGCTCATTCTTTTTTAAAGTCAGAATCCCAAGTACTTCCATCCTCTAAGTACTTTTCAGGTGTTTATAATGAAAAGAAACAGAGTTAGCTTATCTGTTAAGCATGTTGTAAAATTAAGGGATGGAGAAGGAGGGGAGAGAAGAGGAATCAAATATTTACTGAACTATTTGTGTTGTAAGAAGAGTAAAATTTGTAGGTTAAGTTGAAGAAAACTGAAGTCAGAGTATTGGTTCAATCCTCTGTGAAAGGCAAACTTTGGGGCCTCTGAATGTACTTCCAGAACTGTTTCTTAATACCTGTAAGAACTAACTGAGGTTCAGTATGGGTCAAACTTGTAACATAGAGAATTAGAAACTATGGAGTGCTGATCAAATCAGCTCCATTAATAATAGCCATTCCCACTGTTGTTAAAGCAAATCTCTGGATATTTGTAGCTGCAAGGATCATTTTTAATGACATCATCCATTCTCAAACCTCTGCAGTGATCAAAGGCAGCAATTTCCACAGACTACACAAAGATAAAAGAAGCACAACATGAGGTGAAGCTGTCACCCTCACAACAGGCAGAAGTCTTAAAATTAGCTTTATAGACTGCAAATTTGTGTGTCTGTGTCCATTTCCACTAGATTTCCAGACCCTTAGCTCTACCCAATATTATACCATTAAATCTTCCTTGCAGATTCTGTACACTATAAAGAGGAGAAAAAACAGAGGTATAACACAGTAGATTCAGTCCTTTGCCCTTTATATTAAAAATATGGCAAACCACAAATGCTGGCATTAGGAATTCAGTCAACTCTTCTGGGTTTCAAGTGAAGATGCAGCTCTTCAGCAAAACTTGTGTGCTGGAGAAGCCTTTTGTTTGAGACACAGTTAGGGAAAATGGTTGAGGACAGCAGCTGCCAATCTGGTAAACATGTTCTGCTGAGGGGCACAGCTCCTCATGCCTGGATGTTGTTGATAATAGACAAAATGCTCATTTTCTCTTGGGCTGAGTCCACATCTTCGTTTTGTTTCTGAGCCACTCCCGTGCCAAGGCCATACAGTCGTCCGCAGTACTTTGCATCATCAATTGTATCCTCAAAAAACAACTGCAGATTAAAGAAAAACCACATTAAAACAGGGAAGAGAAACAGGTATTGTTTCATTGTGCCTCTAAATCAGAATGCTCCCAATGTTAATTAAACAGCTCAGTTGAAATCTGCCACCTCCACACTGCAGCGTGTGAATTAAAATAAGCACATGAAAGGGGAATAAACAGAACAAGTCTGTGCCAATACCAACAATTCCTATTGCTGACAGTTCCAAGGCTGATGACCACAAGGCTCAAAACAAACAACACCTTGTACATGTTGATATTTATGGACAGGAACTGGAGAAAGAAGGTCCATAAAGAAGAGCCCTGCAGTACCTCCTTCATTCTGAAGAACGCCATTCCCGTCAGAAGAGAGTCTGATCCTGCCTGGTGCTGTCGTCCAATTCGCTGCAAATCCAGCTGATCTGCTACTTCCTGAAGGCCACCCTGCAACAGAACAGAACAGAGTGTCTTTGAGAAGGTCCATCTCTTGCCAAAACTGCCATACTCCTCCAAAGCATGAGGGCAAACAGTGGTGAACTGATGCAGATTGCAGCACTGCACACACACGCCAGGCTGGAGGGACACACAGTGGTAAATACTGTTCAAGAGTGTGTAAATGCTCTTCCCAAATTTAGGTGCCTTCCTTTCCTGCTGCTGATACTTGAGATGACTGTGGCTACATTCATAGGTTGCACATGGTGGACTTTTCCCTCCCTTTACTCAAACAAGGCTGTGATTCAGTAGATAAATGACTTTCAGCCCTGTGAGTGTCTACTCAGGTCATGGAGTAATTCATGTGTAAGAAATACTCACCCTTGCCGAGGAAAGATAAGGAAGATGAATTGTAATTAGCCTCTGATACACAAACCGGAAGGTTATGGCAATGTCCCTAGGTAATGTAGGTATTGGTAAGTCTGAAACTGGGGAGGGAATCACCCAGTTGACACAAACTGTCACAGGTGCTTCTGTGTCACCACTGGCTTTTACACACATTCCAGTTTGAAGACTTGACTTATGCAGCACTTCTGTCACTTGGCTTCCTGTGCATTTACACTGTTGATACCCAGTAATTGCTTGCTCAGGAAAACAAAAAGTACCTTGAGGTTTTTGCAGCTCTTCATTAAGTATTTCACATCATAGATAGATGGGAAGAAAAGGTTCAAGATTTGGAAAAAATCATGTTCGTCTTCTGGTAGCCTGGAATCTGTCAACAACTTTACCATGTAGCCAAAGTCATAACCACTGGAAACAAAACCAGACAGACACCAGATAAGCAAGAAGCACCAGTAACTCACTCAGTACCAATATCTCACTGTTCAACAGAATTTTACTTGCTATGCTTTTGAGCCCTAACATGTTCTGACATTCACAGAACTTCTCTGGATCAGAGCCAGAACTCATCCTGATCTTCTGTCAATGTAGGACTTTGGAATGCTCCCTGAGTGCCTCCACTAACCTCCTGTGGAACAGCTAAGCCACTGGGAAGAACATTGTTTCTCAGCACTAGGTTTCTGTAGCTATGGGCAATACAGAGAAGCAGGAAACCTTGGAAGTCTCTGTTGAGGGAGGAGGATGTGGTGGTGGCAAGTCCTTTCACTTGTGATAGCCTCAAGGACCAGAGGCTTCGTAATCAAGTTGGGTGAAATGCTACAAGAAAGACAACCACACAGATTTCAGCCTCTGCATAGACACAAGATGGAAGTTGAGAGCACCACCAACATTATAAGGAAGAAACAAAACTCTACTTGACAATGCACACAAGTTACTAAGTGTAGAGATCACATTTATACTTGTTAGTAACTTCTTCCACAAAGGAAGACTAACAGTGAAAGGATTTGCAAGCAAACACTCAGACCATGAAGTGCCAAGTCCCTACTTAAACTTAGCCTTCGTATCTCTAAGCTTATTTTAAGAACTGCAGGGCTGGTAGTTTTTCCCTTTAAAATATGTGTCAGTTTCCATGGCCAAAAACATGTGTTTCAATACAGAAGAGATTTCCCAGGGTCAGTGAGCACTCCAGACCCACCTGTGGAAGGACAGCCATTTCACACTGTCACTGAGGACAACCCCAGACGTCATCAGCAGCTCAGCAAAATGCAGGGTATCAATCCCTTCCTCTTCATGCTTCTGGAACTGCAGCCCAGAGCTGGCAAGGAGGTCTATGGAATCCTGAGAGTACATGTCCTCTCTGAAGGAAAACAGCAGGTTTGTGCTCAGGGTGCTGCCTAGCCAGGGTCATTTCAGAAAAAATCCTCTCCACATGTTATTTCAGGAACTGGAGTGACCAGCAGTGACCTCTCTGGGTTCCACATTTGTCTCTTTAGAAAATTCTAACTGGCTGAGTTGTAATACCACTACTGCAGCCTCCTACATCCGTAACAAGCTGTTCGTGATGGCAACTAGATACTAATTCTGTTGCTAGTGCAAATTCCCCAGACTCCACCTCCACAGAACTGAAACTGACAGAGTTCTGGGAAATGTCACTTCTCCAGGGGCAGGGAAGCACCACAGGTAAGGGCACAAAGAGGGGAGTTCTCCCTAATAGGAAGATGTGCAACTCCAAAGCACTGAGCACCATTCCTGTCTACATTTTTTCCTTTTCACTTCACAGCACATAGCACCTTTATCAACACTCCACTTCCATCTCTGGGAGTAAACAAAATTGCATCATCCTTGACTCAGGAAGGAGGATAGGGAGGAGTGATGATGTGCTTGGCTGAGAGCTAAGCAGGAACCTGACTTCTGTACTGGTTTGGTTCATTTGAGGGGGAGGAAAGGACATGAAAACACAGACAGAAAAGTTCCTATGATTATGATAACTCAGCCAAATGAAGTGAGCACACTGAAAATCACTCTCCTTTCAGTACTTCTAAAAGACTCACAAATTTGTGGAGCAAACAGTGCAGATTTTGGGTTCAAGAACTGTATGAACTGCACCTACTAGCCATGAATTTTTGTAATGCTTCCACTGAATGATTTCCTAAAAATGTGTGGGTTTGCCCCTTCTTTATTCCCAGGCAGCTCTAGTGGTAATTATGCTGAGTTTGCCTTTATAATTACAGGGGAAGAGATAACGAAACTTGTTTCAGCTGCAACCCAAGACATTGCAGTCTGGAGGAGACAAGAACTGCAACACTCCATGCAACAAGATTCATTCCCCTGAACAGGTGTGATGATTACACCAACATGTTTTTGGATCCCAGTTTATATTTCCTCCTGGATCTGCAAAGAGGTCTTTTCCTTTCCGATGAAAGCATCACATTCATTTATTTTTAGCAGAAAGAGACGGATTTAAATATATAATGGATAAAGTTTCAGACTATAACGTTATTCCAGAAAAAGAGGCACATAAAATCACCAAGATAAAGAACATTAAGGATGTGATTTTAGCATGGATTTGACTTCCAGAAACATTGGTAACTCCTGGCATGCCAAAATAGGTTTCCACATAATCTGTGTTAGAATCTGACAGCAATGATGAACACTTGGACACCTGCACTTGCCAAGGGAAAACAGAACAGGAAACTATTCCCCAGTCCCAAAGACTCACGTCAGGTTGAATTTGAAGTTGAACTGCCAAGTGTTGATGCCAGAAGGATATTCTCCTTTCTCATTTGTGAAAGTCAGGCCCAGCTGGATGATTTTCAGCAGGTCAACGTTACACCGAAGGAGCTGATACTGATAGTCCACAGAGCTGCGGAATTCACCGATTGGTCTGACAACCACCCCAGGAAACTCCGTGTCCTAGGGGAGGAGGGAAAATCTTGTTTCACCATGCTCCCCATTAGGAGTCATTATTATCCCTCTATTAGGAGTCTATTTGTTTGCACACTTGTAGGTCTCAGCACTGTCTTCTTTGAATTGTTCTGCAAAAATCACCTTTTTAACTCTCCTTTTCCATAGTCATTCCCTCCATTCACATTCAGCTTTTAAACTGCTACAAGCCAGACACTAAGAAACCATACACAATTAAATAACTACTGCAGCTTTGTTTTATGTTACAGCCACCCAACATGGGTTATTGTATAATCTAAACATATCTCTCATAAAGGACTATGGGTTATTGTATAATCTAAACATATCCCTCATAAAGGACTCATTCTCCCCAAATCTACCAAGATGGAATATTTTTATATTTATTCAGTGATCTTGCAAGTTCTAAACACAAGTTAATTCACCACTGTGACCATCTTCATTGCACAGTAACAGACAGTGAAAACCTGCACTGCTTCTGAGGCACAGCCACTGCCTACGTTAACAAAAACTACAGTGAATCAACACAGACCTTAACAACAACCATCTGTTGAATGAAAAAACACCTCTTAGATGAAAAACCTGTTAACTTGGCCACTGACTCTGTGCTGCCTTTGCTGAAAACCAAACTGCCAATACTATTTCTACCCTCAGATTAGGTCACGTAGCTTCTATCAGCTATACAAAACCCTTCCACAGCACACCCAGTGCTGTGTATCTGACAGCATCTCTCCCTTGCCCAACATGTTCTTGTGTCCATTCTTACAGCACAGCCACTAAAACAGGCCATAAACACACATTCAGTGAGATCACACAGCAGCAAAAAAGCTCACTTTCCACTGACATAAGGAAAAAAACTTATTCACTGCCACAGCTGCATTTGACACTGGAATCTACACGCTCTGCATGGCTTCATGCCACACTTTGATTCAGGCCTTTTCATATCTTGAGGTTTAGAGTTCCTAAAGTGGGCAGAACTTGCAGTATCACAGCTAAAACCAGTTCTGGATGTAACTCCTTGGGTGCTGCCAAACAAAACAGACTGGTGAGAGCAGAGGAGATTCCTCCCACCCAGGGTAGATTCTGATCCTCTTAACAAACCTTTCTGAACACACTGTCTTATCCACAGCCAGGATATTTTTCTTCCCTTAGCATCAATATCTGCCCTCATTAAAAAGGAGGCAGGCCAGCTCATTAGCTGTCCCTTCCAGGCCTTCTGACCCACAGTTCCATGGCAAAGCCAGGCTGGATGAGGCCTTGAGCAACCTGGTCTAGTGGGGAGGTGTCCCTGCCCCAATAATTCTATGACTTTCCACAACCAACCAGAGAAAGACATTCAAAGGACATATATACCAGTGGAAAACTAGGGATTTAAACCCAATGGTACATCTGACCTGTTTCATTTCCTGTTGTATAAATGAATGCACCAGGAACAGTTAAATACCAAATGAATTCATGTTTTTAAGGTGGTCACTCTCTTCCCCTTCTTTCGTTCAATCCATACTCAACACTACTTGTATTAAATTCTAGAAAGATACTGAACATCTTCTTAATTTCTCACCTCTTCTAGCTCAGTTTCACTGGAGATATACTGAACATCTTCTTAATTTCTCACCACTTCTAGGTCAGTTTCACTGGAGACAGGGGGAAATCATTCCTCACTCAAGAATCAACTTACTTTCCCCTACCCCCCAAAAAAATTGCCCTGAAGTAAACAGGACAAGTACAGAAGATTTACCATGGCAATGTAGCTGTAACTCAGAACAATCTCCCGAATTTTCCTCATCTCCTCCTCCAGGTTGTTGGCCCATACTTCACAGATAACCTGGCTGTTCTCTGCCAGGGCTGCTGGCATCCTGAGGGACCAGTGGAGAGGCAGTCAACGCTGAACTCAGATAACAGTGTAGAATCAGAAGCTGTGCAATCTTATCAGTGTGCTGTGATAGAGAGAAACAAACCATGCTTTAAATGAAGAAAGTGCAACACATGTGACTGGATGCTCTGCTGGAGTCAGTCACACTTCCATTTCCAGCCTCAAATAAACCATTTAAAGTTGACACCAAGTTTCTTCTTGCTTTTATCATTTTTTGCAGATATGCTGAGTAAAATCCAGAGCATCTGTTCAGGTTACAAGAGCAGATACACAATTAACAGTCCAGTTACTTATAGAAAGAATCATTATCCCTGTCTTTCTTCTTGAGGGTTGGCACTACATCATTTTTAAGGTCCATTCCAACCCCTTAACATCTGTGATTCTATGACCTCCTTGGCATAAGCTCTGGACACAGGATGTACAGGCAGGGAATCCACACGTTTAATCCTCATCCCTGGAAGTGCTGAAGGCCAGGTTGGACAGGGCTTGGAGCAACCTGGGCTGGTAGGTGTCCCTACCCATGGCAGGGGGTGGACAGGACCCCCTGGTCTCTGTCCTCCCCAGTGCCTTTACCCCCTGGTCCATGACCCCCCACTACCTATCCCCCCAGTCCTGTTCCTATCCTTTCTATCCCTCCCCTCTGTCCCTATCCCCTCAGGTCCTGGCCCCTCTCCCCCCATTCCTTGACCCCACTCTATCGTTATCCTGCAGTACCTATCCCTGTCCTTATCCCTATCCCTACCCTGCGGTCCCTGTCCCCACATCCCTCTCCCCTCATGGTCCTTCTCCC